TGTCAGCAAAAAGCTCCATTTCCATATTTCCATGACTTCCATGCTTGAAGGATCTGCTTGCTGAGCTGCCCTCTGACTCAGGGAATCTCCATCAGGGTGCCTAAACCGTTGCAGGAATCAGATGTTAGTGCTCCACTCAGTGAAAATGCTTATCTTCTGTGCTATACTACACATATTACTTTAGATATTAATAGCTTAATAGTAATCCATCCCCCCTCTCCTTATCGTCACTAATATTAAAAAGAAACTTAGCAAAACTCTACAGGATGTTTGGGCTCCATGCACCGCGTGATGTACTGTATAAGGTAAAACACTGGTCTGAAGCTGCAGAGCTCCCAACTCCGACCAGGCCTTCATGAAGAGACACAAGTTAAGTCAACTTCAGGGTAAGTTACAACAGTCTCACTGAAACCCACTAAGCTAGATCTCCAGGAACGCAGGCACCTGAGCCCCCAACTCCTAGAATACTGAACAGAAAAGTCTAAGATATGACTCCATTCCAGTATTCAAAACTGTCAAAGGCATTGACAAAGTCAAACTAATTGACTGCATCGGAAACAACAGTAAAACCTGAACCAGTGGAAACTGTCTGGAAGTGCATTTAAAACTTAGAACTGGAGACAGTTTGAACCCAAAGGGCTGTGGAGCTTGAAACAAGCTACAGGCCATGTTGTTGAAGTCATTACCCTGGCCTCGTTCAAGAAACAGCTGGACGGGATCCTTACATCAGTCTGTTACTAGTAGCTACACAGAGCAGGTGTCCTGTCTTATGTTGTACTTGCATTTACAACCTCAGGCCTTCAGTCCGTTATACAGGGTGTATGACCAGCCTGCGCCTGATGATGTTTATGTTTTACCAAAGCAAAGTTTGGATTAAAAATAAGACTCAGTACAAAGTAACTCATTAAGAAGTTTTAACACCGCCTCACAGAGTAGTTTAATGATAATTTCATGCCTACCTAGCTTCCTAATGGCTAGCATGCCATTAGTGCTGTTTTGATCGAAAGGGCAAATCATCGATCGATCATCAGCATGTTAGAGAGGTGTAAGGACAGGGCCACATAGTGAGACAGGATTAACTTCCAGTGCTCATGGCTCGGCAGCAAGCTGTTGTGCAAACTTAGAATTAGTCAAGCTAATACCTATTAAAATTCACCACAGAAAATCTGTACAGCATCTATTTTCCAAACTTGTTTTACTATTTGCACTTTCATTATTTTGGCCATGGTACCTCAAGCAAAGGTATAGAAGCATGAATAGAAACAGAAATGTGAAGAAACTGAGAGAGAATCTGAATAAGAAGTTAATAGAATACAAAAAATAAATTCCAACAAATTCACAGTCCTAAGTCAATGTACAGTACTGTTAGATGAAGGCAGAAGTTCAGATAAGGACAAAGAAGTAAAAACATTGCTGATTACAATAAATATTACTGTGATTTACGTAATTTAAGTCCCACATTAAAAAACAATTTCTAAACACACAAAACACTTTTGTATGTTTTCATTTGATCATATTTTAATAGATCTTCTATCTGCGGTCTTGTAAAAAGGGTATTTCTGAAACTGTTAGCCTCAAAGCGCAGTGAGAAAATTAGTCACCAACAGACAAAAAAAATCCCTAACCACCCCTTCTGTAGGAAATCAAACACTCCCTGAGAGCTCCTTCACACAGTCCCTCACACCCTCTGGAATCTCCGGCAGCCCCTCCGGATCTTCTTCCACATGTAGCGGCTACAGAATCTGTGAGCTTCGTCCTTACAGGGCCTGGCCGGGAATCCAGGACGTGAATCCATTCAGAACAACCCCTTGCTTTCCTTGCATGGAACAAACATTGACATGCACACCTGCCTTTCCTCATCGGAAACATTGTATAATGTAAGGCAATTCGTTTCTGCTATGAAATCCAAATGAAGTCTTAAAAGGATATTGAAGTGAATTACTCAACTTGTTTTTTAATAAATAATAATAAATATATATGTATCCGTCTTTTCTGCTTCATAAGTTTTTGTATTCAAAGATACAAATCCAAACGGCAAACTAAAACAGTATTATTTTTTCTTGAACAGTATGGAGGTGAAGCTATAGATTGAAAAAGGAAGGTTATGAAAAAAGGAGGGCAGCACAACGGCGCAGTGGTTAGCATACCTATCTTGCAGTGCTGGCACCCCGGGATCAATTCTGCACCCGGGGTGCTGTCTGTGTGGAGTTTGTATGTTTTCCTTATGTTCTGCTTATGTCTGAATTTCCCTGAGTGCCCCAGTTTTCACAAACAGTCCAAAGACATACTGATACGTTGTACAGTGTCTCGGAACATTGGCTCTGTGTGCGCTCTCATGTGTGTGTGTGAGTGTGTCTGAGTGTGTGAATGTGTGTGTGTGTGAGTGTGTGTGCGCACTCATGTTTGTGAGAGTGTGTGTGAGCGCTCGTGTTTGTGGGAGTGTGTGTGTGCGCCTGTGTGTGTGTGTGTGCGTGTGTGTGTGTGTGTGCACGCGTGTGCCCCTGTGTGCCCCTGTGTGTGCCTGCGCTGTGAAGGACAGGTATTCAGTCCAGGCCGGACCAGCCTCATGCCAGCTGCTTGCCCCAGGGGCTCCAGCTCTCCTGCAAGCCTGAATTAATAATAATAATAATAATAATAATAATAATGTTAGATGAAGTGGTTAGAAAATGGATGAATGAAAAACAATTCAAATAAATTAAAACTATTCTGATAAATTACTTTCATTCTATTGTTACCTGAAGTTTTTTCTATATTTGAAAACTACATGCAGAAGAGCCATGACTCCAGGCTGGGTGCAAAGGAAACACAAGTAGATCTGGCATCTCCGTGGATGATACACTGTTAAGATAATTGCTGTTTGACCTTCCAACCCTTGAAGATTTCGCATGTACCTTTTAGCTATAAACCAAGACATTTTAAAGTAGAGTGAAAACATTCCTGTTAGAATATGGCTAAGGTATCACCTCCTTCGTGCTTCATCTGTTCACCTGTATTTGTGGTTATACCCTACCACCTAGTGGTAAAAAAACTGAATAATACATCTTAATTAACACAATGCAGCCCTTTCCCCGTTTCCCTACACTGTTAATCTTTCCTAAAATTCTGATCGCCATGTAAAGTTCCACTTAAATGATAGATATCCCCTAAACTAGCCCTTGTTATGTCTGTTAGCAGCATTTACTAAAGGTATTATAAACCAGTACGATCAGAGGTGATACTGCCGAGCCCAGAAGCTATGGCGGGGCCTGGTCAGTACAGGAACGGAAGGAAAAAAGGCGAACCAGCTTGCTGGTAACAGGAATGAGAGATGACCGGAAGGTGTCACTCGTCCCTCTTTAATAATAAAAATCAATCATTATAATTGTTTACACTTATACAGCGCTTTAGTGGACACTCCACTCAAAGCACTTTGCCGCAGGGGTGCCCAACCTTTATTCATGTAATGTACGTTTTCATTTGCCAGTCCAGCGCGATCTACCAGTGTGAATTTGAAGCTCTGATATAGGAAAAACAGACTGTGGGCACAGCGGTACAATAACGATACCCATCACTAAAATGACAGCAAATAAAAGCAAGTGACTCACGCTACAGTGAGCCATTAATGTTCCCCATTAAAAAGAAGAGAATATCCTACCTTAATGTGAGCATTGGCACTGAGAAGCTTACTTGAGAACACTTGTAATTATGTTTTTAACGTGTTGACACTGCTGATCATGTCGATGACATTTTTATTGTGTTCCTGCGGCTCGACACTCAGCAGTTGAGTCAGGTCTGTGAGGAACGCTAAATCCAGAAGCCACTGGTCATCCTCTCATTTGGGCTTATTCACCTGTTTTGACGACTTGAGAAGCGTTGATTTCAGGCAACAGCTGTCTGAACTTTGCCAAAAATGTTTGCGAACTGTACAAACAGCAAGCCAGCAGCCTCAGCAAACACCTATTTTATGACTTCTCGATCCCTGAATGACTGTTGTTCAGCCAGGACGTGGCTCACACGGAACGGTGCGAAACGGGGTCGAGTTAGTTTGAAAGGTCGAAAATGATTTTGGCCTGTAGCTTTTTCACGAAACCACCTAGAGTTACGAAGACGCTTGCTGTGTGTACAAAGTACATTGTGACTGTTTTCACCGCCTTCACTATGTCGTTTTTACGCCATTGTTTTGACCACGCACGAATATTCTTATGTCTATATCTTCGCGAGATAAAGCCTTCAAACCAAACGCATTTTAAAGACCAAGACTTGTGAAAAATCCCTGCTATATGCAAAGCTCTATGAAATCCTTTGGAATGCAAAACACTACAAGAAATGTAATTAAAATGATATATCGCATAGTTTTGCTGCACATATTCTTGCGATTTTCTCCCACATTCATGTTAGATTCAGGACGAGGCCCGTAGTCCTCGCTCTCACCTTCACGGGTTTTCGACGATCTTGCGCTGCAAAGCTGTTTGTAACTTCTCTTCTGACCGGACTGTCCCCCTCTACACAACAGCACAGGCCGAATAAAAATACAAACCAACGTGGCGTCCAATAGTGATGTGCCTGTGTGACACTTACTACACAAATACAGCCACAATTCCCTTTTACAGCCTTTGCTGTGTTTTTGTCTCAGATGCATCACATTCAAAACTAGATACTTCTGTACAGCATCATGAATACTATTTTGGAGCCAGGTGAAATAGAAACAAAAATGAATGTTCTGTTAAATTTTAAATATAATTTAGAATTAATAATGATATTTAATAGATATGGAAGAAATATCCACATAGCTCTATAAAAACCTCAATAATCAAGCTGCTTTAGGTGAGCTATGGGAAAGTGAAAATGAAGTCAAACCACTCTATTTCTTATTAAATACACTGTATCCCACACGCATTTTCTCTCAAATCATCTTTAGGTTACTGCTCCCAAAAAAGGAGAAGGAAAATATTTACAACATGTGGCACTGCACAAAAAGCTGTGGACAATATTTTGAAGGAATGAATTTTATAAATACAAACTATTCTTTTACCAGTCTTTATTCTAACAAAACTAAATTTAATGTAAATAACAAAAAGAATGTGTTTTTATTCTTTGTGACAAATATGCAGTTTCCAGTAATAGTAATAACGATATTTACAAGTTTTTGTGATGTGAAATTACTTTGGGTATGAAGCCTTTTCTGAGGGATCTACAAAGAGATCTAACCCCCTCGTGACCCAAACACATTCCTGCATGAATAACCACCAGCCTCCGTAAATGTTTCGCTGTGATATTATAATAAGTTAGAGAGACAGCTGTCACAGTCTGAAACAAAACAAACATCCCTTCCAAGAGAGGCATAGCAACTGCACCACAAACAGGCGAGACGCAGCTGTTTGTGCATTTTACAGCTCCGTCTTTGTGCTGATCCTTCATGTCTTCTTCTCCACCACCTCAGGCTCGGCCAGCTTCTGACAGGCCAGCTCCTGCACCAGCTCCTCCACACAGGTCTTGAACAGCGGCACAGGATCCTGGGGGCAGACGGGAACAACGACAGCTCATCACACAGAAGCTCATACACGAAAACCTTGATTCTCCGAGACAAAGTGACAGGAAAACATTATAAATTGGTTTCACAGTATTTCTCCTCTTTCCCCATCAGGACCCCTGAAATAGTGCCCTCTCGCTCACCTTCTTGCTACATTTATTGCGACACGAGTGCTGTGCCAGCAGGGCCCTGTCCTTCCTTGCTGTACATGTTAAAGTGTCCTACCTTCTGTTCCAGGAGCCTCTGCTTCTCCACTGCTTCTTCCAAGCTGAGCCCCACCCAGTCCGCCTCCTCCTCAGGTATCACAAACTCCTAGGCGAGGCACAGAGTGTCAGAAGGGCAGCCTCCAGAAAAGCCAACAGCCCACCGACTGCACTTGCACTACTGCACCGTTAGGCAATATGTTAAGAAACTTGTCAAAATGTATTCTTTAATACTTCTGTTAACACCTCTTCTAGGTTTATTTATCCAGACGTCACGATCCTGTTAAGTACAAGCGAACGTGGAAAGCTGACCAGCAGCTGTGTTGGGAAATGGAGTGACAGCAGTCTGGTAAAAGTACACATTCGAGGCTCATCTTGAGCACCTTGTACTTGGTGTAAACCCTCTCTCTCCTCTCGGGGTCATCCGGATAGAGCGCGGTGTCTTTGCGTGCCAGTCGAAGCAGCATTGCCCTTTTCAGATCCATCCCGAGCTTCGAGTTTAAATCCTCCTTAGAGGTCTAGGATCAAAACAGAATGGATCAGCATTTCATACAGGAAAAACTAGTTGCAACAGTACAGCAGTGATAGCTTATTGAAAAAACATACAGGTCTATACTGTGACCTTTTCAGGGTCTGTCGGATCACCACTGACCGGGACTGCGACCTTGTACTTCCCGAGGAGAGCCAGTAAAGTCTTTGGCCCCAGGTTCTTCACAAAATGGTGTCAGAAATCACACTCAAGTTGTCATGTTCAGGAAGAATAATATAAACGACGTCCTTAACATAAATACCAAAAACCAATAAGTTGGCATCTCAACCCAGACTAACTCTCTGGTTCTTCTCCAACAAAGACCCTGACTTGTCTTTGCCACACCCTTTTAAAGCCATCTAGCATGCAGGTAAAACCTCACAGCTGAAGCTGTCTAGACGGGAAATGAGCAGGCCATTTCCCCCTACAGCATCTTGGGACATGTAGTTTCCATATCCCCTAGATAGAGGAAACTACATTTTTTTAAAAGAGACAAGGTCACAGAGGGTAAAGGCTTCTCAAAACTCTGGGTCCAAAGTGCACTCCCTCTGTGACCCTGTCCAACATTTTGTCACAAAACATAAACAAAAGGCTTATACAAAGCATGATTATTAATTTCAAGGATAAGAAACTATTACTCATAGTAGCAATGTACTGTATGTTCTCCTCTCAGTAAGAAGTCTACAGAACCTGAACTTTGATTATTATGTGCAGCAGTACATAAATATAGTACATTTATTACCAAGAAGAAACTACTAATATTAACAATCAATGGCAGAGCTCCAGACTAAAACAATTACTTGGGAGCCACTGGCTCCTAAAATTAAACATTTAGGAGCCAAATGACTCTTTTTAGTCGCCAAATTACAGAATCAAGTTTGTCTGCACGGCACTCAATAAACTCAGCACATGCGGTGTCGTTATCATACGTCTTTGATACATCCATTCCATTCTTTTTCATGAGCGAGCTTTGGGAGGCATATTTTGGGAATGGTAATTCCTGGCGTGCGACCATGTAGGCTGCATTAAATTTCATTCGGCTGTTTTTTTCACAGGCGTGATCCAGATCCAGAGACCTAACTTGTACCACTTTTACAGGGGCGGAGCGGTGGCTCTGTGGCTCAGGATCTCCGCCTGTGGCTGGAAGGTTGCTGGTTTGTATCCCTCGGCCGGCAGAGGAATCCTACTCCGTTGGGCCCCTGAGCAAGGCCCTTAACCCCAGCTGCTCCAGGGGTGCCGTATAAATGGCTGACACTGCGCTCTGACCCCCAGCTTCTCTCTCCCTGTCTGTGTGTCTCATGGAGAGCAAGCTGGGGTCTGTGAAAAGACAAATTCCTAATGCAGGAAATTGTATATGGCCAATAAAGTGATCTTTTTTATATATATCTTTTTAGTCATCAAAAGAGTCACGATGGTTTCCAACTCAGATTTTCTCAAATAATTTAAGGTAGTGCAAACAACCACTCTGCTGTCACAAGTCACCTTGAGAATGTAGAAGTCAAAGCCATACGCCTTGTCAATGAGATCCAGCGTCCGAGCAGTGACGGTGATTTTAAACTTGTGGTCAAGGATCTCGCTGTACAGTTCCCTGTTAAAGAGCTGAGGCTTCCAGCATTTCTTCAGGCGTGTGGAGAGCTGTGGGAGAAAGAGGGAAACTAATACTGGGGTATTCATCCAATACTGACAAGCTACCCTGCAAACATGTCTTAATTTGTTCAAAGGTTCACATGGCAAGATTTAAATTTTCAGAATTCTAAGACTATTTTTTATCATTGCAAAATTGTGAAGTCGCTAGTAGTGATGGGTCGTGACCTGTAATGTACAGCAAACTGTAAATTTGAAGACCCGAACTGAGCAGTGCCGTTTCTCACCTTATCGTTATTGGCATATCTGTACCCCGTGATCCAGCCTTCACCCCCCCACAGGCCTCTCTGGGACTCGGGGGGGTGGTAGATGGGAATGGGGACATCCTGGACTCTCTCCCGCTGGCCGGTTCTGGGGTTGAGCCTGAACTTGACCCCCAGGGGCTGCCAGTGCACGGCCGCGGGCGGGCGCGTCTCCTGCAGGGAGCGGAGATAGTGCTGCGGCAGGCGGGCGTAGATGCCCTGCTTGAGCTTCAGCGCCTCCCACAGGCGCGGGGGGTACTTGTGCAGCAGCATCCTCCAGGACCGCAAGAAAGCGCACACTCGCCTGAGAATGGAGAACAGCTCTGAATACCCAGGCCAAAGCAGCCCCTTCACGGGCACGATCGGGAACTTGTAAGGAAACAGTAAAAACAAATATAGGATCGTGTGAAGTAGTTCAGGTGGGTAGCTCCGTCAGCACGCGTGGGCTGCAAAGGAACAAGTAAAGGTTTATTCCTGCTGAAAAGAGAAGAAAAGAAACACAACGTTTCTTTTCAGCATGGAATAAACCTTCACTTATTCCTAAAACACAGTGTGTTTCTGTTCCCCTGCGCCCGGGCGGTTAGTACTGTTCAATGCTGGGGCGATAGAGGGATAGACAGAGTGTAGGACCGCGGTGTCGCGTTTTATCAGTAAAGAATAAACCATGCGAAATATAAAGCTATATCACAACAGTTTCACAATCCAGTTGGTTTTCCAAAACGACGACTTACCCGATACACTAAATACACAATTAATAATTTAGTAATTTAGGCACTTGAGCACACTGAAAACAATTCCCCCACGTTACGTTTCCAATCAAGGACAAAGTTGTACTTCCGGGAGCTAACCCGCCCATTGAGCGAGGCGATTGGCCGTTGAATGTCGCCAAGGTTGAGATTTACATTCTTATTGGTAAATCTGCTTGTCAGTTTGGCCATTCAGCCAATCCCTGCCGCACTACTGTGCGCGCTGCACGCCGGTATTGGATAATCAACTTGTCACTATTCAGATCAGGTTTATACGAACCAGCCGGTTGAAACTGAAATTTGAGAGCGTTGTACTGTAGATTATTATGACCTTTGAAACACTATATTATTATTATTATTATTATTATTATTATTATTATTATTATTAGGAGAAAATGGATAGGAGCTTTGTGGATAAATTACACTCACATGTCCCCATGAGCAGACCAATGTTGGGTTATTAAAAAACATTAATTTAATACAGTTACGGAAGGGATGCTTGGAAATCCATTCTAGTAATTCTGGGCATTCAGGAGAAGATACAGATTTCGTAAAACACAAATGCAGTGCTCCTGGTAGCAGAAAACATGCACAGGAGCCGCTCGGGGGACAGTGGCGGCTGTCTTACACTGTTCGTTGTTCTGACAACTTTGTCAAGAGCCTGAGAAACGACAGGAGGTCTTCCTGCCCTTCTAGTCAGCTCGATAGTGAAGAATTGGCCATTTGTTTAAATTACAAGAATTCCTCTTAACATCAGAAAAGAGGCAATGAAAGAAGTTGCCTCTCATACTGTCCGAGGAAGGTCATTCCACAGCACCGGGGCAGCGACAGAGAAGGTGATTTAGTGTCTGACAGTTTGCCTCTGGACAGACACGTTGCCAAACTAAACAGCTCTATGAAACTGGGAGAGAGGGGGCTGGGACACTGTCTTTGTGATGCTGAAAATATTTGCACCCCCTCTGATCTGATTGTGTTAGAGACGGTCACTCCCCGTTTGTCAGTCAGTTTTTTTGTTTGATTCCGAAAGTCAGTTAACATCAACATCAAGAAATGAGATAAGATCACTTTATTGGCCATATACAATTTCGTGTATTAAGAATTCGTCTTTTCACATACCCCAACTTGCTCTCCATGAGACACACAGACAGGGAGAGAAGCTTGGGGTCAGAGCACAAGGTCAGCCATTCATACAGCACCCCTGGAGCACTTGGGGTGAAGGGCCTTGCTCAGGGGCCCAACTTAATAGGATTCCTCTGCCGGCCGTGAGATTCGAACCAGCAACCTCCCAGCCACATGTGCAGATCCTGAGCCACAATAAAGTGAAGAACTGCTTCATGTTCAACATGGCGCCGGAGAGTCGCATGTTGTCATAAGCATTTCATTGCACTTCTGTATTTCTTAATTATCTGTATTCTGAAATTTAAAGGAAACAGCAGGTAAGATAACAAAATAAGTACATGAAAACATCTGGGTTGTGCAGAACACCACATACACAGGAAGAGAAACACCTCCTATTCTAGATATACCCAAAGCACCTACCGGCAGACTCAGCAGCCGATACAAGCCAATAGGGAAACCCACCCCAGCGCAGCGCCCCGCCGCCCGGAAGGTGGAATTGAACCACTCTGCCGTCAAGCAGCTGCAGGTTTGAAGCCTGCACCCCGGCCCACCGAGGCTCATCCGGGCGATAGATAAACGGGACAGGAGCCATATATATCCCGGGACATTTGCTCATCTGTCCCGCCTGGGGTGGGGAGCGAGAAAACAAAAGGGAGGAAAAAAGAAAAAACGCTCATTGAAAAGAGCTTTAGCGTGATCTGTTATTACTGCTTGGTACCATCATACTGACTAATTTGTCTGTTTGTCTGGGATATCGAGACGTTCTGAAACAGGTCCACCTGTGCGGCGGCAGTGCACCGCGGGAAGGGCGGCGCGGGGCAGCTCATTGGGCGCCGGGGAAGGAGCCGGAGAGGCCGCCGGCGCGCAGGTCGGCTTCTCCTGACGCGGACCCGTCTCCCGGCCCGGGGAGCCAATATCGCCGAGGGGCAGGGGCAGGGGCACGGCTGGGAGTGTGCTTGGAAAATGTGAAGCGCAGACTAGACACCAGCTGGATTTCCACTTAGTTTTGCTGTGTTGTCTCCAGCTGTAAGGAGGTTCGCGTCTGCTGGAACGCGTTTAGAAAAACACAGCCACCCGGGAAACCCACTTTGAAGAGCATCCGTGGTTTCTGGGGCTGTGGAGCCCTCCACCCAGTTACAAGCGCAGAAGTTTTCCGAACTGGGTCTGTTACCGTCAGACCAAGCGCTGATCAAAGTTATTTTTCTCTTCCTGTGCGTTTTCGCGGGATTTGTCATGTTCACCCTTGGTAACTATTTGCTATAGTAACTCACACCACGGTAACCCGTTCGTTGCTGAACGAGTCTGAGATGCCTTCTTTCTGGGTTTAGGTCTATCGTGAATCGTACTGGCAGAAACATGCTCGCGTCCTGTCAGAGCTCTGCAGCCCCACTGCGCACCGGGCCGGCCAGAGAGGGGACAGGCCACCACCACAACACTGCTTCTGTCACAAGCGGCCACGGGGTCATCTCGGTTGGATATCTCAGAGCTGACATTAGACACACAGAGATGTGTATCCCAGGCTCTGAGAACCGGTCGCGCTGCCGAAGGTGAACTGGGGAATAATCCTGGGAGGAGAAGTCTGTGTTTTCGAGGAGTTACCTAGGTGGTGTTAGGCAAAAACAGGAAATGTTGCAGTTCCATAAACGATTAAACATTCCTATTAGCTGAATACCGTGAATTCTCAAGCCGCCCCCAGGTTGCAAACGGATTCCAAGCAGCGCAGCTGTGGGGGCGGGAGGCGCCGGACAGGCAGAGCCTCTGCAGCAGCTGTGCGCTGGGAGGCTCGGGGTTTCTGTGCGAGAGGTTGAGGGAGAGCTTCATAGCCCCTCACACTGTCGCTGGTATGATCTGGATGGTTCATTCACAGCAGTGAGCTGGCAGGACTGCCACCGATCCCTGCTGCGCGGTGAGTGAAAAGGGTTGAGAGAAGTCGCCCAAGCTGTCTCTCTCCGGGCGGAGCGCTGACAGGTAGGGGTTCTCCATGACGAGCTGCTGGCTGGGAGCGCCGTGCCCTGCAGGTGGCGCCGCCCCTCCCTGGCAGCAGAGCTTGTTGGCGCACTCCTTCCCGCA